CCCAGAGAGCATTGTGTATACAGGTGGGGGTGGGGACGGGCCCCCTGCGGGCATTGTGTGTACATGTGGGGATGGGGATGGGCCCCCTGAGGGCGCTGTGTGTACAGGTGGGGTTGGGATGGCCCCCCCTGAGGGTGTTGTGTGTACAGGTGGGGGTGGGGACGGGCTCCCTGAGGGCGTTGTGTGTACAGGTGGGGTCGGGACGGGCCCCCTGAGGGCGTTGTGTGTACAGGTGGGGTCGGGATGGGCCCCCTGAGGGCGTTGTGTGTACAGGTGGGGTCGGGATGGGCCCCCCGAGGGCGTTGTGTGTACAGGTGGGGTCGGGATGGCCCCCCTGAGGGCGTTGTGTGTACAGGTGGGGACAGGCCTCCTGAGGGCGTTGTGTGTACAGGTGGGGGTGGGGACGGGCCCCCTGCGGGCGTTGTGTGTACAGGTGGGGTCGGGATGGCCCCTCTGAGGGCGTTGTGTGTACAGGTGGGGACAGGCCTCCTGAGGGCGTTGTATGGAGGAGTACCAGGCTGGTACATCTTCCCCTGGGCTGGCTCCCGCCTCCCTCCTCTCCAGCTGCCTGGGTTGAAGCCCCTCCCTCCCCCAGGGCTGGTAGGTGTCCTGTGGGACCCCAGGTGGTTGCTGTGCCACCAGGTGCACCGGAGCTCACCAGCTGTGCAGAGGCTGCTCTGTGCGGGCTAGTTTGGAGCCGTCAGGCCCACGGAGGAGCTGCACAATTTGCGCACCTGATAGCCTCTGCCTGAGGCTGGGTGGACCCCCGCTGCCCATGGCACTCACCCTGTGAGAGCAGACAGGTCAGCACTCAGCCCGCCTGCAGGTGTGTCCCGATGCGCAGGCAGCAGCCCGTGACGACGCCGTGCCCCGGGGCTGCCCTGAGCTTGGCTGTAGGGCTGCAAGGGTGGTGTGCGGGGTCTCCCGGCCGTTCACGGTGATTCCAGCATACGTGCTGTGCTTGCCTTGGGTGCACCTCGTCTGAAATCAGGCAGGATGTTGGTGTACTCTCTGGATGCCTGCTCTGATCTTTGAGCCTCACGGGGTGAGCTGGTGCCAGCTAGCCCTCCACACACCCAGCGTCCTCCTCCCTCTGGCCGCGGGAGGGGTGGTGGAGCGTTTCAGCGCCTCTCAGAGCTCCATACCCACTTCAGAACACAGCTCCTGAGGGAACCTCCTGAGGAAGCTGTGGACACTGGGAACGCCCCAGCTGTGGCCTCCACAAGGAGCCTTCTCTGTCACTTTGGCGTGATTGAGCTTGTTGGAGTTTCTCGCTGTTGAGTTTGTCAGAGCATCGATGGGCTCAGGCGGAGAGGACGGGGCCTTCAGCGCCTCTCACGCAGTGGGGAGCAGCCGTCCTGACCCGCCAGGAGCAAGTAGCTGGTCATGTAGTTGGTTTCTGGAAGAAGTGTGCTCGGTCCCACTTGTTTGTCCTCCTCTCTGGCGAAGGAGGATTGGAGCTGGCTGCTGCCATGCGTGAGGTCTCGGATTTTGGCACAGGCGGCCTGCCGTGAGCAGCTCTGCTGCCGTGGTGGTGCAGGCTGGCATGTCCCTTGTACAGAGCCTCAGCGTGCCGTGGGGGGCATTTGCGCGTATGCTCAGGCACGGGTGGGCCACCAGGGGGAGCCCGTATCAGCCCGTGGCCCCTGCGTCCTGTGTTCAGTGGCAGTGTGAGCGCTGGCCTTGGTCCTGTGCATGCTCAGGGCTCATTGCAGTTCCCACCATCTCATGAGGTGGGCCCAGTGCTCTCTGAGGTCAGGGTCCGCTAACCTGCCCTGGGTCTGACCCCCTCCCCCCCAGCTTCCTGAGAATGAAGCACAGGTTTGGGGAGGTTCACATGACTGCGGGGCTGGACGAGCCTTAGTGGTCACCAGCTTGTGGTGTCTGGGGCCCTCACACTTGCGTCCTTGGGGCCTGGCCCTACGGAGCTGCAGGTGGTGAGGGAGCCGGGCCGGGTCAGAGATGGTTTGACCTGCACTGTTCACTGTCCATCCAGGGCCTTGGGCAGTGGTTCACCCCCGGGGTCCTGCTTCCACCCGGGAGCAGTGCGGTGTGCTGGTTGGCGCTTGGTGCACAAAGTCTTAAAGGCCAGGTCCTTGAGTGTCCTCCGTGTCAGGAACGGCAACCAGGATCCAGAGATGGAAGGGCTGCGCTGGGCCCCAGTCTGGCTGGTCACAGAGGACGTGGCTGGCAGCTGGCCCCTAGGATGCCCCCAGCAGTGACGAAGCCTGGGGGTCCCCAGGGGCTTCTGGACCTGTTAGGTGCTCATGCTCTCAGGCAGCAGACCTGCAGGTGTGTCAGCCGAGCTGGGGGTGGGGCTTTGTCGAGTGGCAGCCTAGCCAGACTTTCAATGTGACCGTGTGGGCAGAGCCGTGCTGTGGCACAGCTCCCCTGCAGAATCTGGGTGGCAGAGGGGTTTCTTGGGTCAGCACGCAGCGGGCTAGAGATGGGCGTGTGTCCTGCCCTCCAGGGGCAGCTGTCACTCCTGACGGAGGCCAGGGTGTCGTCCTGGGGGTGTGGCCTGGGCTGCCTTTCTCACCTGCGTTTCTCCTTTCCTTCTGCTGCCCCGGCTCAGGGCTCATCCGTTCTCACACTCCTTTAGGTAAGACTGGTGCTGCGTTGTCAGTGGGGCTGGGCCTGCAGGCGAGGGCGGGGGCGGCAGTGAGACCCCTTGGCTCTGCCTCCTCCCCCAGCCGTACAGAGACCCTGGCCCCTCAGGGATCACCATGGTGGCTGCGTTTGTCCGAGTGCAGTGTCTGTACCCGTCTGTCCCTGGGACCCCTTCCACACTGGCAGACGGGCCTGCTGCATGCTCAGCCTTCCTAGCTCGTCCTCAGGGCTTGGGATCCAACTCGAGAACATTCCATCTGGGATTGGAAATATTTTCACTTGCTTGACCTGTTTGCTTCTCTTTTACCAAAAGATCACTTAAGTTGCTGTAGAATTAAGTAAGGCCATCTGAGGGCTGTTTGTACCCAAAACTGAACCAAACCCGGCGCAGCACCAGGCTTCGTTTGACAGAGCTGTTTCTTTCACGTCCCCCTTGCGATGCCCCCCGTCTGGGCAAAGCCCGCCTTCTGGGCAAAGCCCCCCTTCTGGGTGAAGCCCCCCCTTCTGGGCTGACTGCTGGAGTCTCCAGAGGGGAGAGGAGAGAGCCTGGGCTTGGTGGTACATTTCCCCTGGCAGGGCCCCTCCGAGGCTTCTCTGGTGGCAAGTGGGGAGTGGGGGTCCCACCATCGCCCCCATTCTGCCAGATAGAGGCTCAGCACCGGCGAACGATATTGATATTAACTCTCGCTTCCCTCTCTGCTTTCACCATGCTTCCGAGCAGCAGCTACTCCATCCGCCACTCCATCAGTATGCCGGCTATGAGGTAAAGTGTGCCCATCCCACCCGCCAGCCAGGCCAGTTTCCAGGTCGCCACGGGTGGGCAGGCAGCCTCGCTGTCACACCTAGGCACTTCCTGTGCCCCTGAATCAGGACCACCATCCCCTGCAGCCTCCCATTGACAAGGGGCTTGGGAAGGGCTCTTCTAGGCTGAGAGGAAGACCCAGCACTGGGGTCCCCAGAGAAGACCCTTCTGCCGGTCACCCAGTACAAGCACAAGCCCTGGCCCCTGTTTGTGTGGCAGGTTCAGCTCAGGGGTCAGACAGACCAGGTGTCCACAGGGCCTTCACCCAGAGGGGGCATCCAGAGCCATAGTCTCCTGTCTCCTCTGTCCATTGCAGCCACAGTTTTGGACAGAGTCCTGTCCTTGTTGCCAGCTTCCAGGGGCATCTGGTTCCACTGTTGCCCAGGCGGGCCTGGGGTCCGGCACGCCTGCCTGTGGCGGGGCAGGGCAGCCCAGGCTCTTGGGGGTGGCTGGTTGCCTTGGTTGGCCTGCTTTCTCTGCTGTCCCAGAATTGTCCTTGGTTTCCTTTTGTGCTCAGAGATGTGTGTGAAGAACACATGGGACTTCTCTAACCCAAATACAGAAAGCCAAGGGTGTGCATTCCAGGGACAGGAGCGATGTGCCCAACATCCTGCCCCTCTCATCAGGATTTTCAGGTGTCCCGTGGGAGGCCTGGTCTCACCAGTGGGTGGCAGGCACGTGTCCGTCCCAGGGGGGCCACACGTGGGGTCAGTAGACGTGGCTGGCCTCGGTTCTGATGCAGGGAAGCCTCCTGAGTGACCTCGACAGGCTCTCCGCGGGGGCGCTGGGGGCCCAAGTCTGGCGTGTTGCCTGCCGCATTCTGGCAGTGAGGTCTCAGGATGCTGTGGGGATCCTTCTGGAGGACAAGCCTGACTCTGAGGCCCGTCAGACACGGGGGCAGCACAGCTTTTCCTCTGGGCGCTGATGTCTCTGTTCTCTTCTCACAGGAACTCTGCAACCTTCAAGTCGTTGGAAGATCATGTTGGGACCATAAAGGTAAGCGTATCCTCACCGTTGTCTGAGTCTCTTGAAGGGTACAAGCTCCTACTTACATAAACTTTTTAAAAGGTGTTTTTTTGTTTTGAGATGATTGTAAATTCAGATGCAATTGTAAGAAGTAAGACCCAGAGAGCCCACGCATCCTTTACGCAGTTCCCCCGGCGGTAAGATCTGGCAGAACTGTCATACCGTCATACCAGCACGTTGACAGGGACAGAGTCAAGACACTGCATCCCACAAGGATCCCCCGTCACCTTTTATAGCCCCCTCGCCCTGTTCCTACCCTCCTCGGCCCCCTGCAACCAGAGACCTGGTGTCCAGCTCTCTAACTGTGTCATTGGGAGAATGCTGTGTGACGGAGCCGTGCCGTGTGTAACCTTCTAGGGTGGCTTCTTTCCTACAGCGTAACTCCTGGAGATCCGTCCAGGTTGTCGCCTGTGTTCATAGTTCCTTCTTCTTCCTGCTGAGCAGTCCCTGCTACGTGGGCTCTTGGTGGAGTCGAGCCCCGTGGACGCCTGGCGCGGGGTTGGCCTCTGGCTCCCGGTGGGCGCCCCGTCTCAGGTGTGTTCTTGCCATTGCAGTCTAAAGTCGTCGGTGGCAGAGAGAACGGCAGTGACAACCTTCCTTCTCCGACAGGAAGCGATGACAAGCCCCTGCCGGACCACGCCCCTTTCTAAGCCCCAGCAGCTTTGCCTAGCCACAGAACGCGTGCAAGCACCCCTGAACCCATCACAATTGCAACTCTGCGCAACAGGAACACCTGCCAGCCCCCAGTGGGAGAGGAGCAGGCCTGTGTGAGGACACGCTGCCGGGCCTCGTGGGTCAGCACGCAGCCTGGGATATAGGCATGTTACACTAAAGTTTGCAGATGGGGTAGATCACTGTGCCATCCTTCCTGGGGGTGCAGGAAATGGACAGGCAGTGGATCCTCAGGGGTCGTGAACCAGCACCCACGCTCACTCTTGGAATCTCATGAGCACATCAGGATGGTAAAGGAGTGGGAAGAGCTGTGAGTGTAGACAGTGGCCTTTTCTGATCCCTCCTCCTCCTTCCCCAAGCCCAGGAGGAGTGCCGTCACCCAGAGAGCTTTGCCTGAGCTGTAGTTTTCATTTCAAAATGCCGAACAAGAAGACTGTCCATTTTCTCTGAGATCCCCAGGAAGGAAACTAATATTAGCGGCCTAATTGTTACATTAATGATGTAGCTTTAACAAAAGTAAATTTCTTTATTTTTTAAACGCAGTGGACTTTTCAAAAAGTAAAACTAAGCAAAGCAGCTTTAGCCTCATAGTTAGAGATTATTATTTCTTTGGATTCAGCTAAAATACATGCCTTGCTTTGCCTTTTGCTTTATTGTTTATAATCTTTTTATATATGAAAATGGGCTCCTGCGGTGTGAGCACCAGGTAGGGTTGGGCCCAGCCACAAGGCAGCACTCCACGCCGATGCACGTTTTTCACTCATCTTGCCAAACTTGCCCCTGTCTCTTCCCACGAGGGTGGCAGCTCCCAAGCCTGGGAGGGGGTGCGAGAACCAGAAGCCTCTGCCCTCAGCACCCCCACAGTGCTGCTGCACTGCCTTGGAGTGGCCTGACCCCTGAGGGTAGTCGCTGGCTGGCGATGCCTGCGCCTGTTTACTGCACACACGGGGTGGGTGGGAAGCGGAACCGACCCTCCTGGGACAGGTCGGGGATGGGCTGTGGAGACCATCTGGAACCTCTGCTCTCACCTTTCCTCAGGAGCTGTGCTCTGGCAGCGTGCCTGCCAGGGGCCCTGCTGTCATGCTGGCAGTGTGATCTGGAGGGGCAGTTCTGTGCCTTACTGGCTGTGGGCAGGGGATGTGGTGTTGGGCCGGCTCGAGGGTTGGCATGATCTCTGCTCCAGAAAAGCAGGTCTGGCACCACGGGTCTCTCTCACCACCCTCCAGAAACCTCACCCAGGTGTGGTGTGGGGCAGGCACGTGGGAAGGATGCCATCTGGCCCTCTTCCAGGTCATTGCTGTGGCCTAGGATCAGCCCAGTGTGGGGAGAAGGCAGGCTGCAGGGCAACCACTGGCGGACCCTTTGAAATTTAAAATGAACCATGGGTAATCTGTCAATAAAGCATTCCTTTGGGGAAAACCCTCTTCGGCTTGTGTGGTATGTTTCACCTCATCAGGAGGTGACCGAGGAGTGGTAGAGGGGCCAGGATGGCCCCTGCGGCAGGAAGCCGCCCTCTAGGGAGAGCAGACAAAAAACGAATCACTGGTGCAGGTGACAGACCCAAGTGTGGTTAAAGAGCACCGTGAGGACATAACCCGGTCTGTGGTCAGAGCGGGCCTTGGGAAGGAGGAGCTAGCCAGGTGGGGTTGGCAGAGCCCCAGGAGTGGAGTGAGCAAGGGTCTGCAGTGATGGGGGGCCCAGTGGTGGGCTTTGCACCACTGGAGGGAGTAGGCCTGGGTAAGAGTTCTTTTAAGTCCTACAGGCATCTAGCTATGCTCTCAGCTGTTGAGGTGAAGGGTGGGCCTTGGGAGGCCACACCTGGTCTTTGCTGCCTAGCGAGGCCCCAGATGAAGAACCTGCTGGCTCCTGACCGGGGGGGTGTCCACAAGACGAGGATCGGTCATCATGGGGCGGCTTTGTAGGGGTTACAGTGTCTGGTCTCACAACATCCCTTTGGGGAGGGGTCTTCTTTGTCCAGACGTTGGGGCCACCTGGAGGTGAAGGTGAAGACCTGAGGTCCCTGAAGGCCTAAAGGACCAAGAAAATGGCTACAGAGGAGCTGTTGGGCTCAAAAGAAGATGATGAGTTAAGATGGCACAAACAAGAAAAGGCCATCACACAGGAGGCCAGGGAGTGGGAGTGGGGCTCCAGATGGCAGTGCCGGCAGACCCTCTGTGAAAGGACTTTGAGTTCTCCCGGGGTGTGCCCGTGGTGCTGATGGGGGATCCCCAGCGTGATGAGAGCACCTCCTCTTTGTGCTTAAGGTTTTTAAGGTAATCTTAGAAACGGGCTCCCTCCCCCACTCTTGTTCCCCACCCCCCGTGTGTGATGGCCCTGTCGTGACTCACTTGGTCATCCTCCTAATGTGTTTTCATGAATATATACTTGTCTTCCTCGCTCTTCAAAACCCATCTGGAGTTCCTGTCACACCTGCACACACAGCTCTTTGTGGAGAGTCTCCCTCTGTCCTGCCTCTGCTGCTTTGCTTATTTCCATTCCTGCTGCCTTGTGCTCCCCAGCAAGATGGCCCGATACAACAGCTGGTACAACAATGAGCCCGCACAAAGGGTAAAAAGCACTGCAGCTGTCTGGAGAGTCAACCTCCTAATTTTTTTTGAGAATATGTTCCATACAAAAAAAAAAAAAAAAAACCCATTGCTGTCGAGTGGATTCCGACTCAGAGTGACCCTATAGTGCGGAGTAGAGCTGACCCATAAGGTTTCCAAGGAACCCCTGGTGGATTCAAGCTGCCATCCTTTCGGTTAACAGCCGTAGCTCTTAACCACTATACTACCAGGGTTTCTGTGTTCATGCAGTCTTCATTTATTAAATATTTAAAGTGTCCAGTGGATAAGAGACTGCTAGGTTTTGTGGGGTACCCAGAGTGAATCTGATGTGGACCCAGCCCTCAAAGACTTTGCAGTCCCATTTGTTGGGGGTGATAAGGTGTCTAAGTAAGTGACTGATACAAGTAAGAAGAAGTGTGATAAAATCTTTGGGAGTTTCAGGGACTGGAGCAGATGGAGGGTAGAATCAAAGCCACAGTTGGAGGGGTTAGCATTGAAGAGGAATTCCTGTTTCTCTGAAGCTGTGTTATTTTCCTCAAGAATGAGGATAATGATACCTGCCTTATCCAGTTAAAGGGTATGAAGCCTACAAAGCACTTAGCATAGGGCCTGGTGCATCAGAAGTAAATGTGAAACTCTCCAAGAGTGCTAGTCGTTTCCAACATCTGACAGGTAATCCTTCCATTCTTTCTCTGAACATGTTGGCTTGTTTGCTTTTAAACATATTTGTAATAATGCACTCTATATATGATGCCTCTTGCTCATCTTACTTTGAGGAGCATCATGGCATTTTCTGTGCTATTATATAGTCTTTGTATACATTTTTAATACCTCATAATATTTCATTGAATGGGCTTCTACAATTGGGTGGTTTTCCTTTTTCACTATTAAAAACAATATTATCCTGAACATCTTCGTGCATAACCCTTTTTCTGTATTTGAGAACATTTTCTTAGGAAGAATATCCCTAAAGTGGAATTTCTGGGTCAAAGCAGGACTTCTTGCAGCTCCCACACAGCTTCAGTCTCAAATTGGTGCCAGGCGCATTTTGTTCTTTCATTCCTCCACTGTTTCTGGCCTGAGATTTTTCATTCTCTTGAATCAGTGGACATAAGTATTAATCTGGCTTTGTTTCTTGGTTTTCATGGGCGCTGTGATAGTTAAGTTGTGTTTGCCTGGGCCATGATTCTCAGTGGTTTGGCAGTTATGTAGTGATGTAGTTTTGAAGTTATGTAACAATGTAGTTTGGTAGTTATGATGTAATTTGGCAGTTATGTAATAATGTAGTTATCTTCCATTTTGTGATAAAATGTAATCACCTCCGTGATGTGATCTGATGTGATCAGCCAATCAGTTGTAAGGGGAGTTTCCTCAGGGGTGTGGCCTGCATCCAGTATATGTATATATATGGACGTTCTGGCAAAGCTCGCTGGCTTTTGCTTGCTCTGGATCCTGCATCTGGCTCATCATCATCTGACCTCCGGTTCTTGGGACTTGAGAGAGCGGCCTGCCATATTGCCAGCTGATCTTGACTTCATCAGCCACTGCAGCCTGTGAGCCAGCAGCCTGCCATCTGACCTGCTGATCTTGAGTTTGTCAGCCCCTAAAGCCGTGTGGGTCAGGAGAAGCTTCCAGCCTGACATCTGACCCACAGACTTGGGACTTGCCAGCCTCTACGACAGCGTGAGCCATTTTCTTGAGCTAAATCTATATATACATATACGTATATACATACATACATACATATATATGTAAAAAAAACAAACCCATTGCCGTGAAGTCAAGTCTAACTCATAGCGAGTTTATAGGACAGAGTAGAACTGCCCCTTAGGGTTTCCAAGGAGCGGCTGGTGGATTCCAACTGCCAACCTTTTGTTTAGCTGCTGAGCTCTTAACCACTGCACCACCAGGGCTCCATATATAGATATATATATACATACTCTTCATTGGTTTTGCTTCTCTACAGAACCCAGCCTAACATAGGCAGCAAGGCTTTTTCTTGCTGCCTGCTTGCTGTGTTGATCTCTCCATCACTTACAACCCTGAGCCTGGAACAAGCTTGACAATTCCAGGAACGAAACAAAGGCACAAATGATGGCAGTGTGGTGTACAAGTTCAGACACGCGGGGCCGGAGCCTGTTGAGCCTGCAAGCAGTTGGCAGTTCAGATTGTACTCAGTGTGTAATGACAAGCCTTGGCTGGTATCTGGTATGTGTCTTAAAAAGATGACCACTGAATGAAAGTGGTGAACAGGGGCACTAATGGGGAGAGGAGGCACGCAGAACTGCATGCAGAGGTCTGTCTGGCAACTCCGGGGTTAGTCCGTAGCAGCACAGAGTGAGCACTCCATGGCGTGCTGGAGACACGGTGGTGGGGCAGGTCAATCCCTCAGGGGTCGATGGGCCGTGCTAAGGCAAGGGACTGCGAGGGGTGGGGCGGAGGCGATCCTGGGCGGAGGCTGGGCGGTGCATTACAGTGACTGGACAGGAAGGATGAACTGTCGGTCCTACGACGGGGTTGGGTGGGGCCGCCGGCTCCTGTTGTTGGAAGACGTTTATGTTTTCTCAGTCTTACGTAAAGGGCTGAGCAAACTCAGGTGCAAGATAAGGCCTCCCCCCCTCGCCGCCGCATCTCTCCCTCCGGTCGCCAGCCCCGGCAGCTGCCGGCCCGGGGGCACCTGAGGCCCCGCCTCCGGCCCAGCTCTCCTCCCCACCACCACGCCGGGCGATGGGCACTTCCGGCTCCGCTGCTGCTGGCTCCGCCCACCGGGCTGCCCACGGGCTGTCACTAAGGCTCCGCCCCTGACCGGGCGTGGCCTTGGCCCTGCAATCCGGCGCACGCGCCGGCCCGCCCGCTGTCCCGGCCGCAGGGGCTCACGTCCTTCCGGGGGCGCGCGCGCCGGTGCG